GCCAGCGCTTCTCTCCCCTCCCCGTGCTCCTCTGCCCCAGCAGTGTTTCTTACGTTCTGGGCACGTACACAACTGGCGAAGGAGCCGCGTTCTGGAAGGCCCTTTATTGATTAGGTGCAAAACAGCATCAAGAAGTGAATAATAAGCATAATCTGAAAAATGTAGCTGCATGTCTTGCCCTTGTAAACATTTACTATTTAATGGTGTAATTGTACTTTAATCCTTCACATCATCTGATATAACTCATTGTGTTTTTCTTTTAATTAGCAACCAGACAATCCAAAAAAAGCAAAGGCCAGAGAGTTTGTATGTGCCATAAAAACTAAAGTGAAAACAGTTTTAAAATAATCAAATATTCTCCCTTTGGATCCAGGCTTATCTTTTTAAAGTCAAAAGAGAACTTCATTGGCACAGGGTAGGAAAAAGAACTCCATAATTCATGACAATACCAAAAAAAAAAGTTCTTCTCCTTCTCCAGGAGGACTGGAAAGGGCACTTTTATTTATCTTCTGGACAGACAAAAATAATAGAACCTAGACCAGATATGCTGTAATTAATGTATTCAAAGGTCAACAGGCAATGGTATTTATACAATAGATGGGTGCAGACTACGCTGGTTATAGTATTAATCACGAGTATTTGAAAATAGCATTGTTTTCTTCCTATGTAAGAACTTGAGAGAGTTTCAGAAACAGAAAAGAAACTTTTTTCTCTCTTTCTCATACCTGCCTGCAGTTATTTTTAGCCAATTGTTCTTTAACTCGTGAGGTGTAATATTTGGGAGAAATATACCTGAGTTTACAGTCACCCAGGACTGCCAAAACCAGACCCAGACTACCTCACTAGTTGTGTTGAGGAAACTAAATTAAGCAAGGGCAAACACCAACTGGAAAGTTGTCAGTTTATTGAATGAATGGCTTCATTTTACACACCAGTTAGAATACCTTAATCAGAATATATTTCTGTTCAAGGCCAATTCTTTTACTACCAGGTGGCAGTTTGTTTTAACTGAAACTGTATTAAATTTGTAATTTATTTCCACTTTACTTTCACCTAACAAAAAGGGTTGTCAGATTCCCAGCCTATCATGTTCAAAAATATTTAACCATAAACTTTCTCACAATGTTACATTTGGTGTTACCCACAAACGTTTATTAAAACGATACTGCCAGTGTGGCTGCAGTTAAGATCTGAGAATGTTTCTATTAAGAGTATTACATTAAAATATCGTCAAGCGTTTGTAAGAGACATAAATATTCATACACATACGCCCCCCCCCAGTCTTAGAAGGAAAGTTCCACATAAAAAGAAAAATTTAAATACATACCAAAAGTTGCCTGTTTGTAATTACAATTTTGGGTTTTTCCTAAATGTCTTTGCTAATTTTTTAACTCTTTCACACTGTAATGTAAAATAGTTTTATTTCAAAGCAACTGCCTGATAAAGTGCTAAAAGAGGTAATTCGCATGAACAGAAAGTAATTAGTCATTGTTTGCACAATGCTTTGAAAATATAAACCCCGATGTTTCAACTAGCATTAAAATATAATGATTGGAATACACAGATTTGACAGGCAACAATTCCATCTCACAGACACTTGAGCCCACACACAAGAATTAGTATTATGCTGTTCTTAATGCACTATCACGATATGTGAATAACAACCTTCTTTACACTCAGCCAGACCATACATGATAATAGTGTGCATTATGAAAGTTTAGTACAAATGCTAGACAGGAGATTATAGAAAATAATCCTGCTAGGGTTTTGTCAAATATTACTGAATTTACTCTACCACTCATAAAAATGTAAGTCAACCCACAAAGCTACCATATAAATTATACTAAAACTGCATTAAAAATATAAGAGGATAACCTGGCTGCATCATGTTTGATGCCTAAAGAAGTCTCAGATCTCTGAAGTTGTTATTTACATTTTTTTCCTTTATTAACATTACTATGAAATAAAGAAAAAAAAAAGCCATACTCTCTCAGGCAAAGATTGCCCAGTGTTATTTAGAGTCTGTTTTAGAGAATCACAGGCAAAACATGTAAACTTAAAAGCTGATGCAACTTTGCCTTTTACTTACTTTGTTGTGACTACGTATATGCAAAGTTTCAAACAGATAAAGTTTCAAACCTGATAATCGGACAGAACAGGGTGGATTATGGACTATTCTCATATCTAATCTCCCTTGATTTTAAAAAGGTGAAGCAGACTTCTGTTGTCACAGTCTAAGGATAAACTTGTATATAGGCACTGATGCACTACTGAACTTCAGCATTACTGATTCTATGTGGCAAACCTCAGGCAGGTATACATTATTCAAGAGGAAAAAAGAAAAATACTTTTTTTCCTCTTTACAGAGAAAAGTTCCACTTGTTTGGTTTCACATGTTATTAACAAACTTTCATTCAGTGGTTAAAAAAGAAAAAAAAAATCTTTCAAAGTGTTGATATCATTTCCAGACAGTCTTGTCAGCATCACAACTTACAGGAAATAGTTGATGTTCTCAAACAAGCCCTGTATTTACTCATAGACCCAGAGCACTTAAAAAAAAAATCTTCACTCTTTTGGAGGGTTTTATTTAAATGTCACTCTGGTGGAATATCTGAGAAAGCTGTCTAACCTAACACACAGATTGTGAACATGAGGCAAACACAGGCTGCAGTTCAGAAGACTACTGTAACTTTTATTCTCATTTTGTCCACGTCAGGAACTGGCTCTTACCACTACTTTCCTTTGCTGCCCCTTTCATTTTTAACTCTGGCAGTCTTCTCTAAATGTCCAACTTTTCCCAAAACCAACAGGAAAGTTAACATGATGCCACCAACAACCATAGGATTCAGTTGTGGAGTACAAGACGACTGCCTGAATGGCAAAGAAGTTTGATGGTTTCTTGAGAGACTTTACGCAACTCGATTAAATAAAACGTGAAGCGTATTAAATTATTGTCTGTTTTCAACATTCAAAATGCGCTGCGTGCTGTAAAAGCAGTGAAGGCAGCATGGTCCGCAAAACAGCTTACACTCTCTTCAGTAGAGAATCTTTTCCCCTCGGAGGGGACTTGTCGCCTCGGTTCCCCAAGGGTGCTGGAGTGTCTCGGCTCCTGCTCTGCCAGGCAAGGTGCTCGCACTGGCGGAGGAGAAGTGATGGAAGGGAGACGTCTCTCCACCTCATCACTTACTCCCACAGCTCAATCAATGCACTGGATAAGTTTGCCATTTGCAGATAGAAAACACAACCGGTCGTGGAAAAAAAAGATAAAGGAGACTAGCGGGCCCCACGAGAACCCGCGTAGGAGTGCCGGTGTCTGAACGCCGAGATTTGCAGCAAGGGAGGCAGATAAACAAAGCCTCCGAAATGTCAAGCCCCCTTGGGGAGCCATTCGCGTCCCAGGGAAGCGCGGCGGCGGTAGCACCCGGGCCCGACCCTGCGCGGCCCCGGCCCCGCGGCCGCCCACCACAGCCCGGTCCGGGCCACCCCGGCTGCCCCGGCCACGGAGCGCCCACCGCCGCGCTGCCCCTCCATTCATTCCTCCCTTCGCAAAGCCATACGCGGGCGAGTGCAGTGGGAGCAGCCTCCGGGCCGGGGGGGCAGGGGGGTGAGACGCTCCACGAAGTTGTGGCAGGCAGGGAGAGCCGGGCGCGGGGACGCAGCGGTGGGAGCGGGGCTTCGCCTTTAAGAGGGAAAAGTTTTACGTCTCTCTGAGCTCTGATTTCAAAAAAAAAAACTAAACCAAAACAACGAAAAAAAAAATCATCACCACCATGTCGCCTGTTCCGTCGGTGTGACCGGGAGGGACCCCGAGCCCCCCTCCCGGTGCAGCACCGCTCCGCACCCGGCCTCTCCCGGCGTGTCTCCGGGCACGAAGATGGAAAAAGGGAAGGGGGTGCGGGGGAGGAACAAAAAAAAAGAAAAAAAGAAAAAAAGTTTTTCCCAAACTTACTACTGTTCATGATGGTGTCTCTGTGCCCCGCTTGTCATGATCCCCACTAAAACTTCCAGCAGCGGCAGGAGCGGCAGGACTGTGCGACTGCAGCCCATCGGATGCGAACCCTCTGTGCTCGTCTTCTACTTCCACCCCCCGCGTCTCCCTTCCCCTCCCCCCCAAGCACCCCGGTGCCGGGGAACCGGCGGCCGCGGAGATAAGGCGCGGAGCGGCGCGGAGGGGAGGGCAGAGCAGAGCCGCATCAGCCCCGCGGCCGCCGCCGCCGCTCTCCTCCCCGCCTCCGGGCCGGGGGGCTGCTCCCCCTGCCCGCCGCCGCTGCTGAACTTGACCCTCCCGACTCCAGCGGGGCTACCGCCGTTTTGAAGTCGCCAATTTCCAGCCATCACACATGGCTTTGACCCACCGGCGGGGGGAACGGGGGACGCGGGGGGGGGGATGCACCGAGAGAAGCCTGTGAAATCCGAGCAGCCCCCCGTTCCCTGGGATTATGCCCATCCACCCGCCGCTTTTGTTGTTGTTTTTAATTTTGGGGGGGGGGGTATTCTCGGGGGGGGGGGGGGTGCACCCCCACTGCCCCCCCCGCCGGGCACACGCCGATCCCGCCGCGGGCGCCGCGCCCCCGCCCCGCGCGCGCCCCCCCCA